CAAATATATATCAGCTGTAGCAGGATCATATGAATTCTGGCATTTTACACATAGTCCACCAGGAGGCGCCAACACAAAAGTCAGAGACTTCACATGAGATTWGGGCCATCTTGTGGGGGAAAAGCAGATTACTTCCTACTCGCGAGCCTCTGGTGGGGAAATGTTTTTTCAGGGATACAAACATTTTCAGAACACCGGTAGACGGCAGCCATTACAGACGAACGTGTGTTTGTTGTTCTTCCAGGAGCGGCCTGGTCACACGCTAATGTCATTAGTTCGCTATCACAGGACTGCCTTTTTTCCTCCTTTTTTTCACATCATGTCGCCTGCCTGGATCTGTTATTATCTTGCTCTGAAGAATGAAAGAGCRTCAGAGGTAAGCTCATTTGAACTGCTTTTTACGACGTGGTCTCATTTCCGGACTCAATAATTTTGTGAWTGAAGCCGATATTTCAGTTAAAGTACAAGTAAAAGTATTTATCCGAGTATAGTACTACCCCCCAAATTTATGAATGATTTTATGGATTAAATTTTACGTATTACTGTTGAATAAATACGGTACTTGCATCATTTCTGCAGTGATGTACAAGACTCCAGCCCAGAGTGCAGTCTCTCTCATCCAGCTGTGCTCTCACTCACTCACTCACTCACTCACTCACTCACTCACTCACTCACTCACTCACTCATCGTGACGCTGTGTTTGGAAGCCATGCATGCTCACCATCAGTGGTGCTGGACAGTAGTCTCTGACAGAGGCCCTCTGTGTCTCTGTAGCTGTCTTGGATCTTCTGCAGGGCGTCGGCGCCCCGGAGCTCCATCAGCTCCCTGAGCTCCTTCACCGTCACCCCAAAGTCTGCCCCCGAAATGCTGCCGTCTGCCCTCCCTCCTCCTCCGCCTCTGCCTCGAGTCCCTTTGGGATAAAACTCCACGGCGCTGTTTGCCATCTCGCCCATCGTCGCCGTTGTTGACATCTCAGGAAGTTTCTCGTCTCGCTTCTGTTCGGGTCTGCTCAGGTCCTTCGGTTGCTCATGTGCTCTTGTTTTGTTTGTTCGTTTTATCTAAAAGCGTGGGGATGAAACTCTCAGGGGCCTATCTTGGCCTGACCTCCCCACTGCTCCGTTAAACCTCCATAACAGAGGGAGGCAGGGGAGGAAGGGCGACGACTTCTTTCCCTCCGTCTCCTCCGCGACTCCACTCCGTCCTCGTGTCTGTCCCCCTCCCTCCGGGGTCACGGCCAGTCCATGGACGGGCCGACGGGAACGAGGAGGTCGACGGCGGACGGACGGAGAGAGGGGCGAAGGCGGCTGAGAAATGGCAGATTGGAAGCAGATCCAGATCCACCTTGGAGGTAGCTACTGCCGCACCACCAGGACCTGCGAGAGAGACAGAACCATTACAGAACCATTACCTCTCGGTCCTATCGATCTCACTCAGCTCGGCTCGAGAGGCCGAGACGCGTCTCAAAGTGCTTCACAGAGCAAAACCTTAAAGGAAACAAAATGAAACAGCACCTCTAAACAATAAGCATTAAAAAAATCATTTATTCTAACATTTAGTGAAAAACGAGATGAAAACCAAACTAAACTGAATAAATTTGAAAATTTGCACAAACKTGATATTTAAACCTGCATCTATTGATTTGTTTTGGCTCTGTGAAGTGTTGTAAACACAACACTGACATATTATATTCAGAAGAAAAATATAACAGGCAGCAGAAACTTAAAGTTCAGTCCAATAGTTCCCACTATTTGAATTAAAATAAAAAAAAMCTAAGATATGAGTGAGAGTGAACAAAGGGATGGGAGTTTTAAAAATATGTTTAAACTCTTAACATTTTAAAATGTTTTTAGGCTTTAAAAACTAATCATTTTACAGCTGCTCGTTGGCACAAACAGAAACAAAATGATGGAAATTATACAGAAACAGCCAAAGTGACTTAAAAAATTAATAAATCACAGCAGTTGGGGAGAAGTCTGCTGATTGTAGTGTTTTGTTTACATTGAGTGCATACCCACATTTGAGAATTGCATCACAACATATCTGCAAAACTACAAARCAATCTGCTTCAAACTGCAAGTTCATGATGTACTTTTTTCGTTTTAACGTCATGATTTTTTTTTTTTAAAGATGCAAGTTTTAAGTTCCTGCATCAACAGAAGCTCCAAAAAATAAAAAAAATAAAAATTCAAACTAAATCTCTCAAAGCGTGAATCACCCTCTGAGCTAACTCCCCGTCAACTCTCATGAAATCAAATCTTTTTACTAAAACGGACAAACTGCAGCGCCCGCCTCGGCTCTCGCCTCGAAGGAGAAACAATCTGCGAAACGTAACTTCTGCTCAAGAAATAAACACAAATTTTGATCTGAAGTTGAGCTTAAAGTCCGAACAGTTCCTCCTTCAGACATTTTCTGCAGTGTTATATGTAAGAAATGTTATTGTAACATTATTTAATATAATGTAATATGAAATTTCCAGTGTATTTATATGGTTGCGTCTGTATAGATGTATAAAAAATGTAAAAACAATTATAATTATGAAGGTATTTGTTATATAATACAGTATGTTTATAGGTACTTTTATTTTAGGTGTTCAAAACTGTAAATGTTAATAATCTCACTATAGATGGGAGCATGTGATTAACCTGTGAGGGACAGTTTAGAGATGGGAAACTGATGGCCCATGGGCCACATTCGGCCAGCGGGCGACTTCCATCCGGCCCGTTAATAAATTATTTTTTTTGGGAAGTAGACTATCTGTTCACAGGGTTTCAAGTCAAACTAATCAGTTTGTTTAGAGAAGCTGTCTGCCATGAAGGATTTTAATAGATGTCACAATAACACGTTGCACAAAGCTAAATATGATAAATTTACCAAAGTCGCATGTACATAAATGTTTTATATTCGTGTTTGTTATAATAAGAGTACAACTGTTCTACATGCATTTGAGCATGAAATATGATAAATTACTGCACTGTTGGATTAATAAATATATTATTTTACAAACATTTAGTTACATTTCGGGTAAGTGTGCAACACTGTGTGGCCCATCCCTGATCTAGCTGCTTCATCCTGCCCCTTCTCAAACTATTTTTTCAACCTCTTTTTATTATAAATACAGTTCGAGATGAAGACATTTTTCTGGCGAATAGACGCCACAGAAAACTGAATTCTGGTGGATTTTTTTTCTGTTCACATTCTCCAAATCCTCCTTCTGCTTTAGGCCTTAATGTCACATTTAAAAGAACTGTTCTATTAAATGGTAAATGGTACTGAGCTTATAGAGAATACAGAGAAATTACAGAATATTAGTTTGTTTGAGGCGAACTGTTGTAAGTAAAGAAGTTTCATTTTATGCTGCTCTGCATCATGTGTGACATCAAATCTCTGCAATAAATATAAATGCATCTTTAGAWAGTTAACACTAATATGTTTAATTTGTTGAGMTATCTGCATGTGAAGTAACAGGAAGTGATGTCAAAGGAGAATGTCTGCATKTGAACAGAGCGTTGTTACAACAGCCAACAACCCAGACTGTAGAGAAGAATCTGATGTTTAAGATTATTTTGAGTCACTATCAGAGAAATGAGGAAAAGTCAGAGTTCAAATTATRTTGTTTCAATAAATAAAATCCAGAAAGTTCATTTTCTTCAAGAGTTCCCCATTGATGTCACTTCCTGTTTCACTTTGTTAGAGCCAAATTCTAAAGGAAATCTGCCAGTTATGACAAAATGGGTAAAACTGTGTGCATTATTCCAAGTTCCTTAAATATAAAGATGTTTTCTTTGACATTTTGTATTTGAAGGATAATCACATCACAGAAACTTTAAGACTTTTGGGTCAGCTTCAGCTCTGTAACAGATTTTTGATAAGAGCAGTGTTTGCAAAAACACGTTGGACCGTCAGACATTACTGGCTTAAATTACAACTGCCCTGCGAAAAACTTAAACTCGTCGGACGACGTGCTTCTCAAACCTAGAAAATATCTTATTTACATTGAAAATCCTTGCGGATTATCTGTGTGTCCCACTGTCCGGGCAGACGTCTCCACCGGACTTTTATTTCAGTGAGAAAACAGAGATCGTCCGTGATTGGTTGGCTGCCGCAATGCGTTCTGTCCAGGATTTTGATTGGTTTAGGCACCGGAAGCCCTACGGATATTATTTGGCTACAGCAAGGTAAGCTAATTTCTTCATAAATTTATAAATTTGCGGATGTTTTCTTGTGTTTCTGGTATTGTTTTAGCATCATTTCTTAAAAGTATGTGATAACTAACAATACTTTTCTGATTATTTCTGATCAATTCTGTCGGTTTATTAGATTTTTTTCGAGCAGCATGAGTAAAACTTCTGGTAGAAAAATAAAAATCATTTATTATTATTTTTACTACTAGTCCAGCCGATCACAGCAATACTCTTTCCTCTCTTTTTTTATACATGCTTAAGTGGCTACAAAATGGGACCTCAAAGGCCACCAAGCCTGGAACCAAACCAAACTACAAAAKAAAGAAGTATTAGGAGTGAGGAAGATGTGGAGCAGTTGCAACAGCTTCTACTGCAGTGACTGTCTGAAGAGGACAGGGATGTGCCAGACTGTAGTGATTCAGATGATGATGATGCAGAGCTTTGATGAACAGGACTTTGAGAACAACTGTAGGAAACTAAAGGACTACTGCTGCTGCACTTTTGATTTTCGTGCCTCTTTTGAGGAAAAATTGACAGTAATTTCAATAATTCTGAACTGTAATCTGATATTTATTTATTGCTAATAAAAGTGTTTTGAGTTGAATCTTTATTATATCAATGAAGTTCYTGTGAGACGCTGTCATGTCTGCTAAACTGGCAGACGTGACTCAAAAGTGCCTCAAAAGTTTTCGCAAACACTGATAAGAGAAATAAAAACGTCTCTCTGCATGACTCRTTTAAATAAAACCCAGCATGTTTATCTGACACATAGGTCTGTCACGATTAATAAATCAATGAATCGCACAAGAAATTAAAATTMGGTYGATACTTTTCATTTGCCKGCTTGATGTCAGTTTAAATTGGTCTCCAAACAATATGATCGTTTATCGCAATAATTTCTGCCACGATTTATCGTCCGGCAACATTTGTTATGGCGACACGTCCACATGAAAGGAGCTCAAAGTCTGATGTTTCTGTTGAAGCTGTTTTTCACCAAATCCRAGCCCTGATGTTTAACTCTAACTCTGAAAGCCGACGCTGATCGTGCCCCAGTTCAGTTCAGCGGCAGCTTCATCCCACGTGAGTAATTAGCACCAGCTGTAAATATTCTCGGCATCACACACGACGTTCAGATTTTCTCCCTGTTTCAGGTTTCTTTTTTTTTTTTTTTAACAGAAGGATGAGCAAGAAATAAATAAAAAAAGAGGAGCAGAAGCTCATCAGTGATTCCTTTTCTTCTCCCTCCTCTCCACTCTTAAGCCTCCCTCAGCTCCTCTTCCTCCCGAGCTTCTCTCGGGTTAGTTTCTGAGTCACCCCCTGCTTCACTTTTGAAGCTCTCCATCTTCTACTCTCCGCTCTTCCATCACMAAGATCGTTTGACCCTTGTCGTTTCCTCCTCCTCCAACACCTTTTGTCACTCTCTTTCTGCTTCCTGCGATAATTTATTTGCCGGGCCAGTCGTGCCCGGCCCCGACGTCTTGCTCGCCGATCCTGTCCCATTTTATAACCCTCACGAGAGGAAGAAGGCGACCGCGTTCGGCACTCTCGAGCCCGCCTTCCTGTTTTGTCTCGGGAACTTTTGACGGCCGTGCAGAAATAACCATCACTCTATTAGTTACGCATTCCTCACAYGCACAAAACTGAAGCTGGCATCGCCCGGCGGATAATGAAGCCCACACAAAAAGAGCCGGACCACTCAGGCCCAGAGACGCTCTCAGGATGAGGTGGAAGGAGAAGGCCTGCCGTACTGGCCGACGCAGTGTTTGAACATGAAAAGAAGTCAGACAAAAGATCAGCGTTGG